CCATTCCACATTATTACAAATAACTTCATTTCTGGACATTTATGGTTTGATTTCTTTGTATGTATGGATCACTTGGGTTGTTACCAACATCTGGTGAATATTTCATGTCATTAGCACCTCTAGTAATATATTTACTGAGAAAAATGGTGAGTTGTTCAATACTTATTTTACCCGTTGTAATAATTTGTTGGAACAGCAAATTTGTCTGTGATGGAAAGAGGCTTCTACTGTAAATAAGTTAGCACAAACCAAGTTCCCAGACTGCTTATAGATTTATCTCTTGAGCAAATACATAATTTTTACATAACACAACATCTGCAATTTTCTCAACTTTAATTTAAGCCATAGTTTATATAAATCAGATAAGAAATAAGGGTGCTATGAATATTTTTGTGACAGACTGATGCGCATCCTGCATTGAAACTCTACTGTTTTGTTGACATGACTCAATGCAGAGCAATGGCTCCTGTTTGGCGCACGATAAGTCACGTGATGTCCAATCCAGTAATATAGATCAATGAACAGTTTATCTGCAGCTCCTGACTGATCCTGGACCTGAGTCCAACAGGAAAGCCATTTCTCACTCAGTTTCTAAATGTTTTTGTTGAATAAATAATGAGACGGTACAATCTGTTGTGTGTTTTGTTAGATTTGAATCATTTTGAACCATGGTAAGATTAGTTTTATTGTGTCTAAGGATGTTTGAGGTTGTCTTTCCCAGGACTGCAAGGTCATATTAAACCATCAAGACCAGTTTGGGATGAAAAACTGCTTCAGGAACAGAAACATTAGACCAAAACGCAAAACTAAAAGAGAAACCAATGGTTTCATTGTGTTTCCTCATTGGCAAACTGCTTTATGTCAGAACCCTCTCTCTCTCACACACTCACACAAGTTTGTACAGCTATCCAATTGGGGACATTCCATTGACTTCCATTGCTTTTCTACAGCCTAACCCTGACCACAAACCCTAAGGCTAAACTCACAGGTACCTGACCCTAAAACTAACCTAAACTCAGTTCACACCTTGGTCCTAAACCCAATCCCCCAACCCAAATGGGGACTCGACTTTTGTCCCCAAATGTAGGATTTTTGTCTTAAAATTGCCCCCAAATGTCACCAGAAACACACACACACACGAGTTTTGTTCTTTTCATCATTTCCCATTCTACACCAACACTTCGTCCCGTGCCTGTTTCAGCTCATCTTCAGTTCTGGTTGAAGTGAACCCTCAGCTGAACTTCCAGTCTGACATGAAGCCAAATGTTTCTGCTGCTTTAAAACACCACATCTGAAGGCAGATGGATTTTACAACAAACAGCTCTGGTGCTGCTGAACAATGATCCATTTTGACCTTTCAGGAGATCGTGAAAATCCAGAGAAACTGTGGAGTTTCCTGAGATCTACCGAGCTGCGTGACCTCATCAGGAAGCAGAGCAGCTCTGTGCCGGACTCTGGCTGTCTGGATTGTGGAAACAAACTGAAGTGTTTGGAGTGGATCTTTCTGTGCTCGTGTCAACAGTCTGCAGGTTGTTAAAGATGGAGGTCTGTCCTGTTCCCCTACAGACGACAGGAGAGCATCAACATTATTAAAGATGGACTCATCATCTCTTCTTGTTCACAACTGAAACCAAAATGTCTGTTTTTGGGGAGCAGCCATGTTGGATGTTTGGAGGCGGAGTCAGTCAAAAACAAACCTCTGCGCCTGACAGGTTGTCAATCACAGTGAAACATGACCATTTTCTTAAAGCCTCAAATAAAGGGTTGACACTAAAGGTTTTTTTAAAATGCGTATTTGAAGAACCAGCAGCAACGGAACTCAAATCACCAAAAATACAAGAAGAATTTGCTGCTTCTCCTCCGTCTCTGCTTCAGATGATTCTGAGAGAGACGTCTCCCTTCAGCTCACTTTCAGACGGATGCTTGAGTTTATTTTTTGAACAGAACCAATGTTATTGGACCGTCACTGTGTCAGAACCTTGTGTAAATGTTCCTGCTGTCACTTTCATTTTTCATGTGAGTATTAAGAAACCCCCAGTTTTGATTAAAAGCATCCAGTAGTTGTGGCGCGGTGCAGGAGACGGGGGTTGAATCTTTACAGGTGCATGTTTATTAAAGCGTATCGTCTCCACCAACCTCTGTTCACACCGACGATGTTCACCATCAACACCTGAAGACGGGCGCGGGGTCGGCAGATTGATTCCAGAGAAGATTCTCTTTGCAGAACGTCTGAAACAAGTGTTTGAATTGCACTAATCAGCTTATAAAGATGAGAAACCTCAGTGTGGCATGTTTTATTTGATGTTATGCAAAATCTAATGTCTGTTGAGTATTAGTCTGTTTTGTTTTTAATGCAGTATGTGTGACAATTGTAAATACTTTGTCTACAATTTGAGATGGTATATTTACTATACTGTACATACCTGTGATAT